ATCCGCCGGGAGCGAGGGCGATGCGGGCGGGAGGGCCTTGTGCTTGTGGTCGCTGTGGTCGCTGTGGTTGTGGTTGTGGTTGTGGGCATCGACGCTGTGGGCGGCGGCTGGTTGTATCGGGAGCGATGCGGGCGACGGAGCAGACGCAGACGCAGACGCAGATGCAGACGCAGATGCAGGGGCGGGCGGGCGCAGCGGGCGGGCAGCGATCGACGGCGGGTGCAGGGACATGGGAGCGGGCTGAGCCTGTGGTGCCTGTGCCTGTGCAAGTGGTGCCTGTTGAAGTGGTGCCTGTGGAGCCTGTGGAGGTGCAAGCGACGACGCCGATGGAGCCGATGGAGCCAACGGCCGGCTTTGAACGGCGAGTGCAGGGGAAAGCGCAGCGGGCAGCGACGACGCGCATGGAGGTGCGAGCGGTGCGAGCGGTGCCTGCGGAGGTGCGGGTGCCTGTGCGAGTGGTGGCAGGAGCGATCGGCTGGACGGGCAAGGGGCCGGAGGGGCCGGAGGGGCGAGGGGCGGGGCCGGCATGCGGGCCTTGTGCTGGTCAAGGTGCTGCTGCTGCTGCTGGTGCTGCGATGTCGGAGGCTGCTGTGCGTGCATCGACGACGACGACGACGACGACGACGACGACGATCCCGAGGGGCCGGCCGTGACGGGCTCGGCAGACAGCGGCGTTGGGTTGCGCAGCCGCCGCTGGCCGTGCGGGTGGGTCGTGTGGTGGTTCATGTGGCCGTGGCCGTGCAGCGACAGCAGATGCGATGGGGGCGAGGCCGGGCACGACGTCGCGGGCGAGACTGACGGCGTCGGGTACAGCTTGAGGCCGGGGCCGCCCGGGGCTGCGGGCTGGTTGTGCTGCTGCTGCTGGTTGTTGTTGTGGACGTGGACGTGGACGTGGACGTGGTTGGAGGGGGCGATCGCAGCAGTGGCCGGCCCGCTGCCACTCGGCGAGGGGCCGGGCAGATGCAGATGCAAGGCCGCTGTTGTTGTGGTCGTTGTTGTTGGCGTGGCGGTTGTTGCTGCTGTTGCTGCAGTGGATGCACGATCGGCGACAGCGCCAACGGCAGCGTCAACGTCAACGTCAACGTCCATGTCGGACGGGCCTGCGATCGAGGGCGTGGCGGTTGCAGGCATCTGCTGCTGGATCTGCTGCTGGATCTGCTGCTGCTGCTGCTGGGAAGCGGGGCCGTCGTGGCTGGCCATGTCGGTGATGCTGGTGCGTGGTGCAGGCGGGATGGCATGGCAGGCGGAGGATTCCCACACGAGAGATCAGGCACGATGGCATGGCAGGATGGACGGCATTAGCAACCAGCCGGTGCGCAGACGGGGCAGCAGAGGGCAGATGGCAGATGGCAGATGGCTCAGGGCTCAGGGCAGTGGGCGATCGCAGCAGCGCAGCCGCTGCTCGTCGTCACCGCCGGAGCGGCAGCCCTGAGTCACGGACGCCTGTGCTTGGCGTGCGTGCGTGCTGGCCCGTTGGCTGGCCCGTTGGCTGGCTGCCCAGCGAGATCGGCTGGGGTGGCCGCCAAGTCGCCGTACAGGCCCGTACGATCACAGCAGCACAGTCGAGCAGCCAGCCAGCCAGGCAGCCAGACACACACAGACACACGCAGGCACACACAAGGCACGCAGCCCCGTCAACGTCACGATCGCATCATGGCCGTGAACGAGCCGTGAACGAGCCCGGGTCCCTTCACTTGGGCGGATGATGCAGCAGCACAGCGCTGGCTGATCCGGCCCCCCCACGGAACGGCCCAGGCGGAACAGATCACAGGCAGGCAGGCAGACGGGCAGACGGGCAGACAGACTGCCAGACAGGCTGCAAAGGATCGGCGGCACTCACCTGGAGCGGCACTGGCGGATGGGGCTGGTTGTTGCGCAGACTTGAACCTCGTGTGCTGGGGCTGCCCGATCACGGAAAGAGAAGCGAAGCGAAGCCGCACGCCGCACGCCGCCGCAAAAACAAGCAGGCAGGCGAGGCGAGCAGACGATAAGCAAGCGAGCGAGCGAAGCAAGACAGCCGTCGTGTGAGGTGTGTGTGAGGTGTGTGTGCGTATGCGTCTTTGCATGCGTGTGGCACAAGGGGGTGGTGGGATCGAGGCTGCGAGGCCAGTGGCACGGCTGCACGGCCGCTCGAATGCTCGAATGCTCGAATGCTCGAATGCATCCAGGCCGTGCTGCCCACGACAGGCGGAGAGGCGGATGGAAAGGCGACCACGACCACGACGATGCAGGCGCACGCACGACCATGCACGTACCTGCAGACGGGACGGGCAGAGGTCGAATGGATGCTGGAATGCGGACGGACAGATGGGCGGGCGATTGCAGTCGGTTGCGTTGGATGGAGCAGAGGCACCGACGAGGCGTGCTGGCTGGCTGGCTGGCTGGCTGGCTGGCTGGCAGATGCAGATTCCAAGAGCAATGCCGGTGCGAGTCGCGGTGTGGAGCAGGCACGGGCGAGTGGTGGTTGTGTGGTGGTTGTGTGGTTGTTGGGTTTCGGTGTCAGTGGGTGCAGGTGTTGGCAGCAACAGGCGCCAAGTCTGTTCTGCTCTGTTCTGGCTTGCTCGCTGGCTGGCTGGCTGGCTGGCTGGCTGTCGGAGGCGGAGCTTCGTGTGCTGCAGACGCGCCGCGCCAGATCTGGCGAAGCCTGCGTCGCAGCCAAGTCACGCTGCGCAGCGCAACGGGTGGCGGGGGCAGCGGGGGCAGCGGGGGCAGCGGGGAACGAGGGCGGATGACGGCGGGAGTGCGGGCGGAGGAATGGATGCTGTGCAGAGGGCCATGGGCTTCATGGGGCTTGTCCGTCGGGCGACTGATGGATGGCGCAGCCCATGGCGCTCATCCAACAAGCCTCGACTACTCGCCGAGGACAGCTGCCCATGAACGGCCATGCAGATCATGCAACAACAAACCACAGCAACAGGCAGGCATGCAGACAGACAGACAGCCTGCCAGCCAGACAAACAGATGCGGGCAATCAACCCGGCACACTGATCCACACAACCGCCAGCCAATCGCACCGGCACGAGCATGCGACACAGCCCTCGAGACAGGCACACGATGATTGCAGCACACGCAGTCAAGGGGGCCGGCTTACTTTGTCGTTGACGCTCGCTTGCAGATACACGCTGTTTGTGTTGACGGACACGACGCAAGATGAGCAAGGGAACGGCAGGGAAGATAAGGTTGCCGCGTTGGATGCGCAAACGCTGGCGCCGCGCCATTTCCGACCAGCGCATGAATGTTCGAGAAGACCAGACACGAGGGGGTGCGGCGAGCGTGGCGTGATTCATGCGATTCACCGCATCCCCTCGCGCCGTCCATCTGTGCCCCTCCTGAGGCTTTGGGTCGCGTTGTGTCGGCTGCCCTTGCTGAGCATCCCGTGTGTGCGTCATGGGCTTGCAGGGTGGCGGCGTGTGCGTGTGCGTGTGTATTGGTGCAGATCTGCGATGCTGCCGAGTCTGCCACACACTGCCTGCCCTTCGACTTGAACGCTGCGCGTCCATCGTGCTTTCTCGTCCGAGCGGGCACACGGAAGATCGCAAACGGTTCTTGGACAGCCATGGCCGCACAGTCCGCACACGCAGCACACACAGCAAACGCAGCAGGAGCTGCACCGGACGGCGACGCTGGCCAGCAGCCGACACAGCCGCAGCAGACGCACGAGCAGGACAGCGCAGGCTCCGGTGCGCCAGACGCCTGGTCCATCGACGAGGTCAGGGCGATTGCGCGGGACATGCTCAGCAAGCTGCAGTCGGGCGAGCACGAGGCTGCACTGCGCAGGCTGCGGCAGACGCTGGCCGACACCGCTGCCGCCCGCCAGCGGGCCGTCGCCGATGCCCAAGACGCTCTCAAGAGTAAGCTAGAAGTGCCGCTGCCGTCTGCCGCTCTGTCCAGCCGCACTCAGTCACTCACTCGTCCCGCCCCCCTGCAGTTCTTGGCAGACAGGTGCAAGTCGCCCGTGAGGACGCCGGCCAGGCCGACAAGAACCTTGATACGTCGCGGCACACGGAAACCATGCTGCAGCTCGACCGCACCAAGTACGCCACGGCCCGTGCGGTCTCAGACCTCCAGTCATCTCTCGAGGCCGCCGAGACCAAGCTCAAGGCGCTTGAAACCGAGATCGACGCCGTCAAGGCCGCTGAAGCAAGCGCCAAGGAACAGGAGATGGATGTGCCCATGTGCGTTGTTGGGTGACGCCCTCGCGTTGGATCGTGGGTGGCATGCGGCTGCACTCGCTGACATGCAATCTGCGGCACATGCACACGCACAGGATGAGGCTGGCGCTGTACCTGGGCATTGGCGTCGAGTTCTTCAAGGACGAGGCCACGGGCGAGTATAACCAGATCCTTGCCAGTGAGTTTGATGGAGCGAGGCGTCTGGCTCTGTCTGGCGCGTCCTGGATCCACTGACCCGTCTGTTCTTTTGCATTCGCATGCGAGTAGAGAGCCCCGCGCGCAATGACATGGAGCTGATTGATATCGAGAAGCAGTACTCGCAGTTCTACTATACGAATCTCTGCTGGGATCTGTGCGATGATCTTGTATTGGTCTAGGATTCCTGGATCCGTGGCTGGCTGCGTTGGTTGTGCTTAGTGGTCGAGTGGAATACAGTCTTGCTTCTGTTCTTGAGTTGTCCAGGGCAGCTGTCCCACAGGCACCTCGTTGCGCATCTCGCGTCCCAACAGCAGCAGGCTGTCCATGCCGATCTCGCTGCGGTCCTGGAGTGCCACGAGAGAGTCGCCGGGATGGCACGTCCACACCCGCCATGGCATTGGCTCGCAGACAACAAATCTCGCAGGATCCCTTCTGCTCTGTAGCGCGCTGCATGTGTGACCAGAGAGCACGCTCGAGTTGGCAGCCAGACAGCGAGCGCGCTGTGCAGCGCAACGGGACAGAGAGAGCGGGGCGATGCAAAACGAGAGGCAGCCAGCAGCGGCCTCCACTCGAGGCATGCACTGGCTGGCCACAAGGAGCAAAAAGGAGCAAAAATGTCGAGCGGAGTGGTGCATGCGGTGGGGTTCGAACCCACGCAGGCTTTCGCCTATAACGTCTTAAGCGTCACGCCTTAGACCACTCGGCCACACATGCGCAAAACCTCCAGTCGAAATTCCCGCACATTGTCTGTTTGAACGCTACCTCTGCAAACAGCCTCAGCGTGAGACACGTGAGACATGAGACATCTGCGACGAGCAGCACAGCTGGTGGTGGTTGTGCAAGAGCAGCCCAAGACTGCGAGGCAAAGAGGGACGTGAGACAGACGTGAGACAGATGCGCCAGTGACGATCCACAGTGCCACCGGCAGATCTTCGCCTTGAACTCGCACGATGGATCCCCTGTCGGCATCCGCCTATGGTGGCGGCCACAGCAGCCACGACGCAGCAGCAGGAACAGGAACAGGCGCAGGCGCCCACGACCACGAGCACGGCGGCGACCCGTGGGGCTCCAGCAGCTACGCCTCGGGGGCAGGCGGCGGCGGGTCCAGCTCAAGCAGCAGCGATGTGGACGACCACCCGCTGGCTTCCGGCGGCCATGGCCAGCTCGGCGCGACGGCCGCGGGCGGTGGCAGCGGTGGCAGCGGCGTAGGCATGTTTGGGCTTGCAGGCCACGGCCAGCAGCCTGGACTGCACCCTGGACAGCCTCCAGCGCAGGGGCAGGCGCAGGCGCAGGGGCAGGCACACGCACCGGCCCTTGGACAGCCGCAGCACGAGTCGACGGTCACGTCGGCCGTGTTCTCGTTAGGCAGCTATCCTGACGCCGAGCAGCAGCTGGCCTCCCGCCCGCCCCGCGAAAAGGTACGTGCTGTGTGCCTGCCTGCTGCCTGCTGCCTGCTGCCCGCTGTGTGTGTGTATGTGTGTGTGTGTGTGCATGGCTCTGCGTATGCCTGCCTGCCGCCCAGCTGCACAGCTGCTCAACCCTGGCGGATGCAGACACGCTCGCATGCTTTCCACTTGCTCGCGCTGTGCAACCTCGGCTGCTTGGCTGACACGACCGCCTGCCCGACCGCCTGCCCGCCCTCCAACAGACCAACTTCTGCTGCGAGCTCGACAAGGTCTTTGCGAGCGTCTCGAGCCATGCGTTTGTGCCGCCGATCCGCGCAGACATTGACATGCGCGACCAGGCCAAGCCGGCCATCACCATCGCCGATGCCACCAAGGCGCACGACATGTCCGGCAGCACGTACATTGCGTATGCGATCCGCACCGATCTCCCGCAGCAGGCCGTCGAGCTCGAAGCCAAGCACCGGTACTCGGAGTTTGAGGCTCTGCGCAAGCTGCTGACCAAGGCGTATCCGACGGTCGTTGTGCCGCCCATTCCCGAAAAACACTCGGTCGCTGCCTATGCCGCCAAGCCCGGCAAGGCCAAGGAAGATCCACGCATCATTCTGCACCGCAAGCGCATGCTGCAGACGTTTTTGAACCGTGTCGCTGCGCACCCGGTGCTGAGGTCGGCACACATCTTTCATCGCTTTGTCAAGGGCGATGCGCCGTGGAGCGAGATCCTGAGCTCGTCTGGCCTGTCGCACTTGCTCAAGCGCAGCGACACGATTGTCAAGGTCAGCGACAAGAGCGTGCTCAAGAAGCCAGGTGGGTGTGATGGGCGGCGCCAGTGCATTGCAGATGGGGCATGTAGGATGCCGATGCTAATGGCCGTGACCATGACGTGGCCTGACAGATGCCCACTTTATTGCTGCCGAGGACTATACTGCGCGGTTCATGGCGCAGATGCTCTACATTGAACGCATCTACAAGCGCATTGCGAGCCACTACTCGGAAATGGCATCAACATACACGGATCTGGGCGGCAGCTACAACGGCTGGTCGCTCACCGAAACGACGCTCTCCGAGGCCATCGAGCAGACGGGACAGGCGATCGACTCGACAGTGACAGCGACCAACACGCTGCACGCACAGCTCGAGGAGCGCTTTGGCGAGTCGCTGCACGAGTATGCGCAGTTTGGCAAGGCGATTGACAAGCTGCTGCGATGGCGCCACAAGAAACATGCCGAGTTTGAAGCCATCTCCGAAACGCTGATCCAGAAGCAGGCACTGCTGCAGAAGCTTGAGCAGACCGAGCATGAGTCGCAGCGGCTGGCGGCAGCGCTCAACTCGGAGGGCATTCCTAGTGCCAGCCAGCCGTACGCTTATGCAGGCACTGGAGCCGCCGCAAGCAGCGGCGCATTGGCTGGATCTGACGGTACTGGAATAGGCGGCAGCGGGGCAGCGGGCGAGGCGTTTGGGCAGGGGATCAACTCGCCACCAGGTGCGACATCTCCACCATCCACGCAGCCCCCACAGGGCCAGGCCTATCCATCCGCCAGCGCCAAACTGCCATATGCCAACCCGCCGATCCCAGCCTCGAGGCCCGTTGGAATCTTTGCGACGCTCAACTCGCTCATGGACAACGACCCCGAGCTCACGCGCCGCAACAACATCTCCAAGACCAAAGAAGCGATTGTGACGCTCGAGGACCAGCGCGAGACGACCCGGCAAGAGCTGCTTGCGGCCAATGCCGAGATCCAGCGCGACCTCGACCGGTTCCAGCGACAAAAGATTGCCGACCTGCGAGACATGCTCGTGGGATACTCGCTCGCGCAGCGCGAGTACCACCGCAAGGCGCTAGCGGCGTGGCAGATTGCACGCAGCGCAATCGACCGCATTCCTGCCGCCTGATCCATCCATCCATCCATTCAACCATCCATCGATTCAACCATCCATCCATCCAGCCTTCCATTTGCTTGCTTGCTTGCTCTGTTCGTCTTGTTGCCCCCCTGTGTCTGCAGCCTGTCTGCGATTGCATCAGCAAATGAACGCTGCCTTGCTACGATTGCTGCCCATGGACAGCTGGGCCACAGGATTGTGGCGCGCTCTGTGACTCGCCCGGTTGTGTGGCGCGTCGTCCGATTGAAGCAAGGCCGCCATGGATGAATGTCCCTTCAACGGCTCGAGCCCCTCTTGTTTGCCGACTCGCACTTGCCCCCAGTGTACAGAAGCCAGCACAAACAGACGCATGTCGCACACAGCAGCAGCAGCAGCAAGGGCAGCAGCCGACTCGAGCGACGACTACGACTTTTGCACAGCATCGTCGCCCGTGCGGCCGCCGCTCGACCTCGACAGCTTGCTGTCCGTGTGGGAAGCGCAAGGTGCGTCGCTTGCCGTGTCGGGCTGTGCTCGCTCCCCTCGTGCTGCCCCGTGTGCACAGACGCAGCAACGATGACCAGCCTGGTGCATACGGTGGCACCGCTGCTCTGATCAGTTGGTGCTGCTCCGGCTACCATTGCTGCCATCGCTGCTATCGCTGCTGCGTCTGTGCCGACGTTGGCATGCCATCCACCTGCCAACACACTGACATGAACATCCTGCATTGTTCTTTAGCCGACACGCTCACCCACCAGGACGTTGCCCAGTTTCGCATGGACAACCGCAAACGCAATCTCCGAGCCATCGAGTCGCCCCGCGTGCAGTCGCCTGCCCTTGGCCCGGCTGTGGCAATCGCTGCGCTCGGCACCACATTTGCAGCATCGCACATGCCGCCCCTCTCATTGACGTCGGCGTCCAAGGCTGGCATCTCCATGCCAAACGGGCATCAACTCGCTTCATCCATGATGTTCGGCAGAGGATCGCCGACTTTGGCTCGGCCATCCAAACGACTTGCTCTTGGCGCGCTCGCATCTCCACCCTACTGGACCCAGTCGGCATCCCATTCGCCGTCTCATCATGCGCAGACTGGCGGCCATGTCCAAAGCTACCACGAGGGCATCATGGGCAGTGATGATGTGGACGCCAGTATGGACGACATTATCTGTGCACCGGCCGTGGCCCCCAACGTCAGCAGCAGCAGCAGCAGCAGCAGCAGCAACATGTACCATATGAGCAACCCCCAACAGCAACACTTGTATCAAAGTCAGCATCAGCACTCATACAACAACCAAAACAGCCACAATCACAACAGCCATAATACGGCATCGATGTCCATGTCTGTGCAACACCCGCCCACATTGCTCTATGCATCGACCTCCATGGCCGGCCACCACCCAGCAACCATTGCCACATCGGCCGTGTACTTGGCGGGCGGTCTCATGCAGACCATGGAGTATCTGCCTCCGACGCCGCTGTCGTCTCAGCCGCCACCGCCACTGCCCATGCCAGATGCCATCATGTCTGTAAAGTCGTACTGGGCAAACGAATCTGTACACGTGTATGACCACGACCTGCGCATGTTACCGTGACCGCCAAATGCGAATCTCGAATGAATTATTGCGTTTTTTTTTGTTGGCGAGCTTGCCTTGGCCGTTCAAACAACGCAAGGTCGTGCTTGCTGCCCCGCCTCTGGCCGACAGACAGACAGACAGACAGACAGGCGGACAGACAGACAGAAGACTGACGATGATCCATGCACGACAGGCAGACAGGCACCCACACAATGGCGCGGCAAACAAGAAGCAGCACCAAGGCGGCTGCAGAGGCGGCTGCTCAGGCATCGACGGCCGTTGCAACGGCAGCACCGACCATTGCAGCCAAGGCGTCCAAAAAGTCTGCTGCTGGCAAGGCGGCCAAGACGGCCAAGACGGCCAAGGCGACGTCGCCCGTCCCCGAGACGGTCCCAGCCGACACAGCCGACGCTGCAGATACCGACGATGCTGCAGATGCCAACGACGCTGCCACAGAACAAGAGACGGCACCGGAGCCCAAGGTGGCCAAAAAGTACCTCAAGCACCGCAAGTTTGACGACGACGATGAGGAGGACGAGGATGAGGACGAGGATGCTGGCATGGCAGATGCAACTGGTGCTGCACAAGACAACGAAGAAGAAGAGGATGAGGACGACGATGAGGACGACGAGGCTGCGCCTGAAGCCATCTCGACCCGTGATACCAAGGCGGTGGCGATCGAGTCTCAGCGTACCCGCGCCGACCGCGAGAAGCGGTAAGACGGATCGTGTCGATACCATGTGGTCGATCTCCTTACCAGCTGGCTGACACGCATGCGGTATGGGATGCCCACGACCACCACCCACGACCACCACCTACCAGTGAGCGGGAGTCGCTCAAGGAAAAGAGACGGAAACGTGACGAGGCTGGCAAGCAGCAG